TAATGAAAGTGCTATGGGCTGCCAAAAGAACCAATAGATCTGTTTTGGAAGAAGTGCAGCCAGAGTGCTCCTTAGAGGCCAAGATGGCCAAACTTCATCTCTCATACTTTGGACATATTTTCAGGAGGGACCAGTCACTGGAGAAGGATATATTTGGTAAGGTGGAGGGTCAGAGAAAAAGAGGAAGACCCCCCAACGAAATGGATTGGCCAAATGGCAGCATCATTGGACTCAAGCGTGGCAACAGCAGTGAGGTTGGCCCAGGATCGGGCAGTGTTTCATTGTGCTGTGCATAAGGTTGCTATGGGTCAGTACCAACTTGATGGCACCTAACAACAACAATAATACTCTATATTTGTTGTTGTTAAATGCCATCGAGCCGGATCCAACCCATAGTGATGCTCTACAGGGTTTCCTAAGAGCGACTGGTGAGCTTGAACCGCTGACCTTGCAGTTGAAACGGCTTTGCAGTCTGGCGCATTAACCACGGAGCCCCACCAGGACTCTATATATCCCTCTGTAATTACCACGGTAGCTGCTTCCAAGTGTGTTAGGTTGTGCTTCCATTGAGTTCTAAATTTCATAATTTCAAGTTAGTTGATTTGTAATCCATGAATTGTTTTCCTCTTTTATTCTTTGTAAGTTTCCATGTATATTAGAGAAGTTCATGAACTGTCTTTTGTTTTCTGCCTGCTGGTTCTTTTAATTTTTAGGAGAAATACTTGAAATTCTCTCACTGACCTTGGATTTGTCTGTTTTCCCTGTATACCAAAGGGCTTCAAAAAGTAAAATGTAAAAAAATGCATTATCTCTTTAATTCCATTTTTCCACACACTTTCAAAGTCCCTCCATATTTGCTTATACACATTAGGTATGTTACAGATCATTTTTATATCTTCTGGTGGGTTATTATTAGATAACATCCTTTTTTATCCCTGTTCATGCTTTTCACTTTAAAAGTTGTTGCTTTTTGGTCTGGTATTAGCACAGCTAAATCTGGTTTATTTAGAGTTTTCCTGTTATGTAGCCTTCCATTCTTCTTCCTCAGACACAAACCCCACTCAAGGGCCTATATTCATTCCACCATCACCATGATGTTGATTGATAGCAAGCTCTCTTTGATTTCTTTTTCACTTATAGTTCCCAGGGATTTCCTTTTCTTTTTAATATTGCTGTGCATTTTGGGAGTAAGGAGAGGTAACAGGGAAAAGGTGGTATACATCAGCTTAGTTTGATGCATTGTTGTAAGTCCTATAATTTTGTGTATACATGTTTTAGGTAGGGGGCTTATAAAAACAATCGACTTTATTCTTCATTCTCAGTGGCTATTTTTATAAACTAGTTTATTATGATTATATTATGGTTATAGATATATTTGAATTTATTTAGTCGTCTAATTTAATGTTATTTTTTACCAGGATTTATACTGCTTCCTCCCCCCCTTCTTTCTTAACTTGTATGAGATTTTCCCCTTTTTCTTTTAGTTGTTTTAAAGGGAGCTCTAGTAGCATAGTGGTTACAAGTCAAGCTGCTAACTTCAAGGTCAGCAGTTCAAAACTACCAGTAGTTCCATGGGAGAAAGATAAGGCTTTCTGCTCCTATAAAGATTTATAGCCTCGAAAACACTATACAGGGTTGCTATGAGTCGGAACCACAGGACACCAGCACCACCACCACCACTTAACAGAATCTAGAGTTTATATCTCAGTTATTCTCACATGATCAAGAACTTTAGAACATGTAAACTTCACATTCTCACTTCCTTTTTCCATATTGTTGTCTAACAGTATTTCAGTTCTACCTTGTTTTTAAATCCACTCAAATTAGCCTTTTTTTTTTTTTTAATTATATCTGTACTCTTTTATGAGGGCTTCCTTATTTACCACTGTGAACTACAGTGGCATGAAGTATCCAGGTGCCCCAGAATCCCAATTAAGTTTGGTTTCCTCATGGTTTTCTATACCGCACACATCCTCTCCACTTAGTACTGAATTCTTGAGGATACTTAGGACCCTAGTTCATAACCAGTGACATGCCTAGATAATTTGATTTTGCCCAAAGCATTATTGTTGTCTTCTCTATTGATATTAATGTTATCATGCTGAGCTCTGCCTTGTTACATTAGCCTCTTTAGAGTTTCTTTCATTACTTTGAAAAACTGCATAGTTGGCATGTGTTTAGTCTATTAGACCCCCAGGTCACCTCTTTCTAAGCTAGAACTTACTAGGAGGCTCCTGGTCACACAGATTTCCTCTCTGTGACCACTAGTTTCTGTTTCAAGTGCAAGTCCTCACCTGTGCAACTCTGGATCACATCATGGCCAAGCCCTATAGATACCAAGAGCAGGAAATAGTGAACACAAAGCGGTGCCTAATAGAACAGCCACATCTGTATTTTAAATATTCCCCACTCCAGAGGAAAAACTACCATAAAGTATGAATTTTATGCAAGTAAATTTCCACTACAATTGATGGCAGATGGAACTTGTAGAAAAGGTGCTAGAAGTATACATTCTAGCAGTTAGTGAAGTACCTTTAAATCATGACTGCAAAAAAATGAACTTGAATTTTATAAAGGCATATAGCTGTTCAATTTCTGTAACTAAATGTTACTTCCATTTAGTTGCTTGTAATTAAAAATAGCCAAATAATGGCAGAATATGTGAATGATAGTAATTCCTAACTTAATTAAACTCAGTGTTCTTATCAGTGTAATGAATAACTTAGAATTAATAAATTTGAAAGTAACAAAAATATACGTCATTTACCTGTGTTCTAAATCAGTCATTTTTAAACTATAGTTGTGGCCCATTTATGTGGTGAAATCACTTTAGGGAATTGGAACCAGCATTATTAAAAATAAAAGAGTAGAAAGTAGAGTACATCATTAAAGGCTAAGTCTTGTTTTGTGAAATTTTTCAGTTTTTATATATGAAGATGTATATTGGGTCACAACATGAAATGTATTTCTTACTGTGGATCATGGTTCAAACAGTTTGAAAACCACTGTTAGAAGAGTGTGGTAAAAAGACTGCCAGAGCTTAGTGCCAATAAAAGTAAATGACTATCTGATAAAGAAACTACACAGTTTTTGGTTAGTGTTTCTAACTTTGCAAAATGTTTACTTTGTAGATGTGAAAAAAACAAACCTCGGAGCAAGGATGATTATCAGACCGCAGTAGACAGATTAATTATGGCTGCCCAGATATCGAATCCAAAACTTTTCATTAAGCACATGACTGTTAATGTTAATAAGGAACAGGTTTATAGTTTAGAACATTGTTCTGCCTTGAAATGGCTGAAGGAGAATATGAAATGGGCTGGAAAGGTTTGGCTTTTCAGTAACCATTAGTTAATAAAGACATTTTTTTTTTTTAAGTTCAAATAATCATTGTTGAAAATAAAAGACAATAAAAATAGTTTTCATTATATTCAGCTTCTGTACTTTGTTGATTTACAATAAATTAATAGTTTTCAAACACTGAAAGTTTTGATTGATACATGAAATTTATAATGGTTTTACCCACACTGAAAAGAGATTTTTCATGTCACTTTTTTTTACTTCTTCTTAAGTTAGGAGAACCCAAGTATGGTACATCACAATTTGTTCTGAAACCCAAATGATGAGAAATCACACACTGAATATTGTGTAACATTTAATAACAGACACAAAAGGGAAAACATGGAAGCAGGTAAGTAACTAGCATTTTCAGAAAACCCTTAGGGGCATGAAAGAAGCTTAGTGTATGGTAAGTCCAGTTTCTAAGCCTATTTTATATCTGTAATCCAGAATAATACTATGGGGCTTCAAACAGTTCCTGTAAAAGTAGAATTGAAAGATAATGGAGTTTTCCCATGAACTTCTTGAAGTCCCCTTGTACAGTGCTATTAAAAAATAACTCTTAACACTGAATTCTGAATTATACCAAAAAAAAAAAAAAGTTAAATGACCCTCAGAATAGTTTACCTTTAGTGTACCTTAGATTACTATGATTTTTGAAAATTTATAATTCACGTATACTACATCAAGTCTGCCTAAAGAAAACAGTACTTTAAGCAAATATGCCAGAACTTGAGTATTTAAACAAGGATTATCCCTTTCAGACCACCTTTAGGAAGTTAAAACTCCTCTTCTGAAGTCATCTTCAGAACCTGCAACACATCATTCTCCAGGGTCATGCTCTTCATCCTTAATTTGAAACTTCAGATTGAGTACTTTAAAATGTAAATTTATTCAATCTAAAATCATGTAAATTCTGCATAAGGAAATAGAGTGTGACTCATTCTAGAGGGAATGAAAGTATTTCTTAAAGGAGTTCCCAAACTATGGCAATGGCAACTTCACTGAAGTAAATCTATAACCTCACAAGACTAGAAAAGTAAATCAGACACCTAGTGTCTTACTGACATGAAATGCAAAACAAGTGAGCTCTGGGAAATGAAGCAGAGGAGAGGTCACGAAAGTTGGCCAGTTCGTAGGGTAAACACACTGGGTGACAAAGTGAATTAAGTTTAGAGAAAGAGGAGTCTTTAAGAAGGAAATGGGATGCAAAGTGGGAAGTTAAAAAGTGTTGTATGCCTTAAGAGTTAATTCTGGAACAATAACTCGGAATTCCAGGCAAGAAAGAGGCAGGACAGGGCTCCAAGGCTTGGACCCACAGAGATAGGAAAAGTTTAAAGGTTTGAGGACTTATAGTCCGTGGAATTTGGAGCTGAGGCAGAAAATCGTGTACTTTTGGATCTGCCGGCCAGGCACAGAGGCCTGAGACCACATCCTGGGCGAATCCAGGTGGCGGGATGAAACAGGAGCACAGTATACTTTGCCGATTTTGTGTGAGTCCGATTTTATTTTTTTCTTTGGTGTAGGGTAATAGGTGTACTCACGGTTTGCCCACCTACATTCGGTGAATAAAGGTTGGGGCTTAGCCTAGTGGCCACAACCCACCCTCACCGCTGGCAGTTTTCTCTGCCAGTTTCCTCTGCCAGGAACTCACACACATGATCAAGTGGGATTCATATCAGGGATGCAGGGATGGTTCAACATTAGGAAAACAATCAACGTTATCCACCATATAAGTAAGAAAAAAGAAAAGAACCACA